GCATCGCTCCCTCACAGTCTGCACTGACAGCTTGTCTGGAGCTCACCAATGACTGTACAACAGGAGATGACAGAACACCTGCTCATCTGCTGCACACACTCTTTTTACTGTCAACTGTAGAAGAACAAATAGCTCTTAATTTAAATCTACATTCACTAAGCTTTCCTCTATACACCCCCCTCCATGACCCTCTGCTGCCTACTGCCCTTCTGTTGTTACTCCAGCTTCTGTAACGTGTTGTCAAAGTACGGAAGAGGTGAAGAGGAGCTTCTGTAACGTGTTGTCAAAGTACGGTCTAAAGTACAGAGTGAAGAGGTGGCGTCTTTAGCACCGAGACAGTGGGACAAAGAAGGAGCAACAACCAGGGTTAACATGGGTTTGGCTGGTTGACATGGAGAGGGTTAAAAGCAGCCAGAGGACTCAGACTGGATCCAGATGTCAGTGATTTGTCAGTTCAAAACATTTTGTTTTCAATCATTTAATAAGAAATTCACCATTTTTAATGACATGTTGTTGATTGGTAGATATTTATTGCTGAGGTAAAGACGTTTAAAACGAGCTGTATCTGCTGCTCTGAACCAACCTGGAATGAAAAAGTTGGAGCTAAAAGCTTCTTGTTTCTCTTCATTAAAAACCAGTGTCTGAGAGAAACTGTACGATTTAACCATCTAAAATAAACACAGTGGGTGGAGCTGTCTTACCTGGAGCTTTCAGACAGATGTGCTGCAGCTGTTTCCTGATGCCTCGGTGTAACACAATGTTTGCCAGCAGCTCCGTCTCAGCATCAGCATCCTGCGCTCCCCAGCTCTGGAGTACAGCACTCACCCGCCTCCTGCTTCTCTCCCACTCTCTCTCTCCCTTCTCTCTCTCTCTCAGTCTAACTAAACCCGTCCACTCTCATGTCATCAACAGTGAACAATGGGGAGACCACGGCTGTTCACTCCAGTACTCCAGTGAACTCCACTACTAGTCAGCTGTTTCCATTTTCCCCTCCTTTTCAGAGGGGAACACTGTACTTTGTACTTCACTACACTTACCTCACAGCTGTAGTTACTACACCCTTAAACTGAATGAAATCATTCTGATAACTGATGAACTGTTGAAAACTGAACCAGTGAGTATCAACATTTTGGCTCAGGACCCTAAACAAATGATGTGCTGTGTGATCCTATCGCCTAAAGATTATAGTCACATGGTGCCAATTAGTTTTCCCAGTTTCTGTGAAACATATGTAGGGTATCTGCTGTATGAACGTAACTTCTGGAGACATGGGCTCGTCACACAGTTTGATTTTGACATGTCTGAGGCTCAGAGAGGTCAAATGATCCAACAGTTCTTGAAAATTGCAAAGACTAAAGAAAAGAGTTTTTTTTATTTTTAAAGTACACACGTGTATTAAAACTCATCTTTATTACCTCTCAGATTTATATGGTGGCCATTTGCAGGGCCCTGACCCTTAGGTTGGGAACCCCTGGACTGAACAAGTTCCACTGCAATATTGCAAAAATCAGGAGCATCCTGTCTCAAAGTGATGCTGAAAAACTGGTCCATGCATTTGTTACTTCCAGGCTGGACTACTGTAACTCTTTACTATCAGGATGTCCCAATAATTCCCTAAAAAGCCTCCAGCTAATCCAAAATGCTGCAGCCAGAGTACTGACAGGAACTAGCAAGAGAGATCATATCTCTCCCATATTAGCTTCTCTCCACTGGCTCCCTGTAAAATTCAGAATAGAATTCAAAATCCTTCTCCTAACATACAAAGCCCTTAATAACAAGGCTCCATTGTATCATAAAGACCTCGTAGAGCCTTATCATCCTAACAGAGCACTTCACTCTCAGAGTGCAGGTTTACTTGTGGTTCCTAGAGTCCACAGAAGCAGAATGGGAGGCAGAGCCTTTAGCTATCAAGCATCTCTCCTATGGAACCAACTCCCAGTCTCAGTTCAGGAGGCGGACACCCTCTCTACCTTTAAGATTAGACTTAAGACGTTCCTGTTTGATAAAGCTTATAGTTAGGGCTGGATCAGGTGACCCTGAACCTTCCCTTAGTTATGCTGCTATAGGCCTAGGCTGCTGGGGGGCCCCATGATGCTCTGAGTTTCTTTCCCCTCCCCTCCTGCTCTCCTCTCCTCTCCTCTCTCTCCCTATGCTTCTATATGCCACCATTACACA